TTGTATTCCTGAGAAAATAAAATTTGTTTACCAAAAAAAAAAAAAATAGTTGGTCTCTCACTTTTCTTCGAGAGACTCTTATTGTAACTTCCCCTGGCAGATTATTCTTTCTGATAAGTTCTGAATACGATCTATTGAACGTATCTATTTCACTTTGAAGTTGATCCGATGTCATTTCTGCCATGGGCGTCGCCAACAATCTGTCTTAGATTCTCTCCTTTCTCTTCCTGGATACCCTGAAGTCTCAAGACATAGCTTGTTCTTTCCATTTGAAGCTGTAATACTCGAGACTCTTCAATTTGACACTTTCCCCCCAGTGCCTGCAGTTTTTTGTCCATCTTTTTTTAGTCGGACTCCTGGTCCATTTTTCTGATTTTCTGCGTGTTTGCAGCCATACATTCAAATGTTGATAAAATTGTAAAGTTCTCAATCTACTGGATTACTAGAGGTAGGCATTTCTCTTTCCAGTGGTGTAATATAATATAATCTTTTGGCAACAGAGAGAGCAGAGAGGGTCCATTTTCACTGACCATCAGATTTGGTCATACTGAGAATTAGATAGGTTAATACTGTCAGTCTTGTATATGTACTCTTGTATAAACAGTGTAGTTTTATATTAACTTTTTCTCAAGTTAGTGATCAAATTCAAGTGCATCTTTTATAAGAGAAAAAATTCATCAGTATTCTCTTCATTGTTGTTAGCCATTCAGTCGTGTCTGATTCTTGGCGATTCTATGTACTTGGTGATCCTGTACTGTTTCTTTGAGTTGCTTCATGCTCAGGCTGATGTCAACTTTTATGGTGTCTAGCCACCGTGTTCTTTGGCGGCCCGGTTTCCTTTTGACACTAACCAGTCCAAGTGTAACTGCTTTTTCTAGTGAGTTCATCAGCATGAGATGGCTGCAATAAGTTTTATGATTCTTCCTTCCAATGACATGCCTAGTTTTATTTATTATTAGAGTTATATTTATTTATTATTAGATTTATAACCCGCCCTCCTCGCAAGCAGGCTCTGGGCGGCTCACAGATAGGGCGTATATGCCAATAGTTAAAACAATTAAAAACAAGAAAACAATCAACCAATTACAACAATACAAAGTGCTCAAGATGTTTCAGAAAAGACTTCAGTAACAAGATGGCTAACTGGGGATAGCAGTCTCAGTTCAGTGGTATCAGATCTACACAACGCTATAGTTCATTTAACGCAGGGCTATCTCACTCCCTGCTGTTACCCAACTCAGTTGTTGTTGGTGGTGGTGAAGGTAGTGGTGGGAGTAGTGGCGGCTACTACTCAAAAGCCTGGCGGAAGAGCTCCGTCTTGCAGGCCCTACGGAACTGGGCAAGGTCCCACAGGGCCCGGATCTCCTCCGGGAGCTCATTCCACCAGGTAGGAGCACCACCAAAAAAGCCCTGGCCCTGGTAGCAGCATACCTGGCATCTTTGGGTCCTGGAATCACCAGCAGATGTTGTGTCCCTGACTGTATGCCCTTGGGGGAATATATGGGGAAAGGCGGTCCCATATAGGGCTTTAAAGGTAAGAACCAGCACTTTGAAGCGAATCCAGTACGCTACTGGCAGCCAGTGCAGTGCTTTCAGCACAGGTCAGATGTGCTCCCGCCTAGGGAGACCCATCAAAAGCCTGGCTGCAGCATTTTGCACTAGCTGTAGCTTCCGGATTTGTGACAAAGGCAGCCCCATGTAGAGAGCATTACAGTAGTCTAAACTCGA